TCACTGAGTTACCAAAGTAGGGGATCCATTCCCTTAACAGAAGATCAAAATTGTAATGGCGTTTCTTCGGATCATCCTCAAGGATGTTTCCCAGATCATTGCCAATGTTCCATTGTACAACTCCATTGCGAAGTAAATAAAGTGCCTACCGACTTACCTAAATTCTTATGTTCGGAAAACATTTTTTATAGGTTGCAATAATTGGTATTTTAACATACAAGTTAAATTATCTTGTTTTAGATATGAACTGATTATAAGCAAAGAAGTTTATCGCCTTTTTTTAATCTTATTCCATTTAGAATGACGTAACTTGTTTTTACGATTAAAAAAAAATAGATAAGTTTTAGTTATCAGCTGAAACGAAATGAATAATGATAAAACTCGGGCTGTTGAAATTCGGGGAAGTTAATTCTACTTGGAATATCACAGCTATTGGGTGTACAGTTAAGTTTTGAAATACGTCAATATTTTATACGAGAAATCAGATCAGTTTATTACCCCTGTAATGAGTGACTCGAGAAATCACAGGCGAAGGAGGAAAAAAAAAAGGAACCCAAATATAAATAATTGTAATAATAAGGATTATGATAATTGGAACTCTCCTTCTTTAACTTCTGAGGAACTCACTCATGGAAAAGGCTCATTGAAATCCCGTCCCTCACCAGATAATTGTAAAAATACTGAAGGACACTCAGGGATATCTCGTCCTGATAATTCGATAAATTCTGGAGGATGGAGGAATCGTCCAAGAGATTGGAGAGAATCTGCGATATCAAGGAGATCCACTCCTGATGATAATAAAAATACGGAGGGACACTCTGGGAGATTCGCTGAGTGTCCCTCAGATTGGAGAGAATCTGCGAAATACTCAAAGAGATCCCCTCCTGATGATAGTAAAAATACTGAGAGACGCTCAGAGATATCCCGTCCTGATAATTCGATAAATTCTGGAGGATGGAGGAATCGTCCAAGAGATTGGAGAGAATCTGCGATATCAAGGAGATCCACTCCTGATGATAATAAAAATACGGAGGGACACTCTGGGAGATTCGCTGAGTGTCCCTCAGATTGGAGAGAATCTGCGAAATACTCAAAGAGATCCCCTCCTGATGATAGTAAAAATACTGAGAGACGCTCAGAGATATCCCGTCCTGATAATTCGATAAATTCTGGAGGATGGAGGAATCATCCAACAAATTGGAGAGAATATGCGATATCAAGGAGATCCCCTCCTGATGATAATAAAAATACTGAGGGACACTCAGGGAAATCTAATCCTGATAATCTGAAAAATTCTGAAGGATGGCGATCTCCTCCAGAAGATGTGGGAAATTCTGCGAAAACCTCATGGAGATCCCCTCCTGGTGATAGTAAAAATGCTGAGGCACGCTCGGAGAGATCCCGTCCTGATAATTTGAAAAGTTCTGGAGGATGGCGATCTGCTCCAGAAGATTGGGTAAATTTTGCGAAATGCTCATGGAGATCCCCTCATGTTGATAGTAAAAATACTGAGGGAAGCTCAGAAACATCCCGTCCAGATAATCTGAAAAATTCTGAAGGATGGCGATCTCCTCCAGAAGATGTGGGAAATTCTGCGAAAACCTCATGGAGATCCCCTCCTGGTGATAGTAAAAATGCTGAGGCACGCTCGGAGAGATCCCGTCCTGATAATTTGAAAAGTTCTGGAGGATGGCGATCTGCTCCAGAAGATTGGGTAAATTTTGCGAAATGCTCATGGAGATCCCCTCATGTTGATAGTAAAAATACTGAGGGAAGCTCAGAAACATCCCGTCCAGATAATCTGAAAAATTCTGAAGGATGGCGATCT